CACAAAAAAATGTATAAAAAAATGGGGAATTTGGCTTTGGGGAATCATGCCAAGCTTAAACACACGGCGGCGGGGAGGGTTCTCCCTCCTACATTCTCCCACGGAGGGCGGTGTGTATACGCGCTTATGCTCTGGTACTCACACACACACACACTCATACACACACACACACACACACACACACACACACACACACACACACACACACACACACGCCAGAGAGTGCGACCTCTGTGTCTGACGAGCAGCGGCGGGAGCGGGCGGCGCAGGTTGCCATGGCGCTTGCCGATATGCTCGCTGGTGATGACGATGGACAGGATGGTGATGGTGATGTTGCGCCCAGCGACCAAGACTGAGGCTAAACCCGTCAAACCAAGACACTGTGTGTGTGTGTGTGTGTGTGTGTGTGTGTGTGTGTGTGTGTGTGTGTGTGTGTGTGTGTGTGTGTGTTTGTCTATGTCTGCGCGTCTGTGTACGCGCTTCCGTTTCCTACTCTGTGTCTCTCCGTAGGTTAGATCAACCCATCCACCATCACGGCATGTCACCTTGTCATCAGATCATGTCACACATCAAACGACAAACATCACATCAACGAAGATGATGAGCCGTTCCAAAACACAACACAAAGCAGGAGTAAACGCGGTGTTGGTGGCGGTGGTGGTGCTGGTGTTGGCTGGCAGCTTGGGCTGTGCTGTCGAGGGATCGAGACGGCCACGCAATACTGCGACAGGCGAAGCGCATGGGGACAACTGGGCGGTGATTGTGTCGACGTCCATGTACTGGTACAACTATCGCCACACCTCCAACGCGCTTGTGTTCTACCACACTGTCAAACGGCTGGGGATACCTGACTCCAACATCTTGCTGTTCCTCGGCGAGGATCACGCATGCAACCCACGCAATCGCAGGCCAGCAAGTATCTACTCCAGCGCGGCCTTGCAGCCATCCACCGCCGTGTATGGTCAGCTGTGTTGCCTGTGTGTGTGTGTGTGTGTGTGTGTGTGTGTGTGTGTGTGTGTGTGTGTGTGTGTCTGTCTGTCTGTCTGTCTGTCTGTCTGTCTGTCTGTCTGTCTGTCTGTCTGTATCAGTATGTGTGTCTGAGTGTGTCTCTGCATGCATCTGTGTGTGTGTGTGTGTCTGTCTGTCTGTCTGTCTGTCTGTATCAGGATGTGTCTGAGTGTGGCTCTGCATTCATCTGTGTGTGTGTGTGTGTGTCTCTCTGCATCTATGTATGTGTGTGCGCGCTGCTGTCACTCCTCTTCCTTCCTCCGTCCCTCTCACATGCGAGTCCGCTTCACTGTTTGTGACCATCACAGATGAGGAGATCGAGGTTGACTTTCGGGGCACGGAGGTGACGGCAGACACCTTCATTCGAGTGATGACAGGTGATCACATGCCCGCTGCCTGCCGGCTCGTGCGCATGCCTCCTTGTCTTCCTTGCCTACTCACGTGCACTTGTACACTGTAGGGCGGGTGTCTGCAAAGCTTCCTGCAAGCAAGCAGTTGCGCTCTGGGCCAGACAGCAACATCTTCGTCTTCATGACAGGTTCGCTCACTGGTGTGTGTGTGTGTGTGTGTGTGTGTGTGTCTGTCTGTCTGTCGGCCGTGTAACAGAGTGTCCCACAATGTGTGTGTGTTTGTGTAATCGTGTGTGTGTGTGTGTGTGTCTGTGTCTGTGTGTCTGTGTGTGTCTGTGTGTGTGTCTGTGTGTCGTGTCTGTGTCTGTGCCTGTCCGTCTCTGCCTCTGTGCCTGTACGGCACATACATCTACCTACCCCCCCCCCACCTTGCGTCTCCACGTCTACCTTCTGCGCCCCTCTGTTGTGCCGCTCGTGGTGTGTTTCCCTCATGCGTTGCATGTCACCCGTTGCCAGGCCACGGGGGTGTTGACTTTCTCAAGTTCCGCGACACCCACGTCATCTCTGGGGCGGAGCTGGGCGACATGTTCTACACCATGCACGAAAAGCGCAGGTGCTGCGCCTTGTTTTGTGTGTCTGTCTGTCTGTCTGTCTGTCTGTCTGTTTTGTGTCTGTGCCTCTGTGTCTGTCTGTCTGTCTGTCTGTCTGTCTGTCTGTCTGTCTGTCTGTTTTTGTGTCTGTGCCTCTGTGTCTGTCTGTCTGTCTGTCTGTCTGTCTGTCTGTCTGTCTGTCTGTCTGTCTGTTTTTGTGTCTGTGCCTCTGTGTCTGTCTGTCTGTCTGTCTGTCTGTCTGTCTGTCTGTCTGTGACTGTCCGTCCCTTCCAGTGGGCACAACTGCCAGCCTCGTCTTGACATGCCCACAGCGCCATGTGCTGCTCATCACACGCTGCTGTACCAACACATGCACTCACATATACACGCACGTACACACGCACTCACTCACATACGCTTTCCGCCGAGCCAGGTATAAGCAGGTGTTGTTCATCTTGGAGACGTGTCATTCCGAATCCATGCTGGAACATATCCGCTCGCCCAACATCCTCAGCATCGGCAGCAGCTCCAAGCACGAGGACTCGTACTCGGTGCGATGTGTGTCTGCGTGTGACTGTGCCTGTGATCTATGTGTGTGCGTGTGCGTGACTGTGTGTCTATGTGCGCCTGTGTGTGTGCTTGTGACCATGCTTGTTCCCATACCCGTGCCTGTGATCACACCTACTTTCCTCTTCTTGTGCGTGGCGGGCACAGTCCGAGAAGACAAACTCACGCTTGCGTTGCGACGACGTGGCGTATTGACTGTGTTGCCAGCGATCGAGCTCACCCGAGCTTGGTGTCATGATGGTGGACGAGTTTACGGGTGCCAGCATGCCCTTCCTCTCCCAGCTCACAACGCAGTCAAGGGCAACTGCTGCAGACTACGTGAGTCATCGCAGCGTGTGTGTGTGTGTGTGTGTGTGTGTGTCTCTGTGTCTGTGTCTGTGTGTGTGTGTGTGTGTGCGTGTGTGTGCGTGTGTGTGCGTGTGTGTGACTGTGTCTGTGTCTGTGTCTGTGTGTGCGTGTCTGTGTGTGTGTACGTTGTGTGTGTGTGTCTGTGTGTGTCTGTGTGTACGTGCGTCTGTGTGTCTGTGTGTCTGTGTGTGTACGTGTGTGTCTGTGTGTGTGTGTGTGTGTGCCTGTTTCCTTCCTGTCTTGTCTGCCTTGTTTCCAATCTCGTTTCCCACATTCTCCCCACCCCTCCCACCTACCTGCCTGGCTGATCTCCCTTATCACCATCGCGTTGCCGCTCACGCGAACTCCCATGTATGTGTGTGTGGGGGGGGGGGAGGGGGGAACAGTTTGCCCATGTGCGACGATCGCGCCTCACCTCTCATCCCGTCATTCGCGCAACCACGTTCCCTCGCTCCCCAGCAAAGGTGTGCGCTGCGGTGCTTGCTTGCTTGCTTCCATTTGTACCGTGCCTTGCTCCGTGCCCTTGCAGCCATGTACCGCAATCTCACCACCCTTTGTCCCCAACACACACACTCACTCACTCACTCATTCACTCACTCACTCACACTCATTCACACTCATTCACTCACTCACTCATTCACACACTCTCTCATTCACACACACACACACACTCACACTCACTCACTCATTCACACACTCACACTCATTCACACACACACACACATTTGGTTCGCCAGGTGCTGCTGACAGATTTCCTCGCGTCCACACCGGTCATCTGGCCACTGGATGACGAGATTCAGCAGCACCTGCCGACTCTCGCCCTGACTACCGCATGAGCGCGCGCGCTCAACAGTGTGGTCAAGACAGTGTTTATACTGTTCCTTCTTCCCGCAGCCAAGCGAGCAAGCAAGCAAGCAAGCATTGCACAAGCAAGACGCGTGCACACCACCACACTCCACACACTCCACACACTCCAGACACACCACTGGCGCTGGCGTCAGGACGCATTTGTGTGCTCTGGTGGATAGTATGGCTGTCTGTTAGTTCCTGTGCGAAATATACATTTATTTCATCGAACAAGGCAAACGTGAGACAACCAACCAAGACGACGGTGGTGGTGATGCGTGTGGTTGCGGATGTGGATGCTGGCTGCTGAGAGGGCATTGCAGTCGTGGCGATGGTGAGAGAAGCGTGGCCACCTGCCTATTAGCACACCCACACTCAAGCACTCACTCACACACACACACTCATGCACAAACGTTGCTGTTGCTCTGGTTGTTGCAGGACAGTGACGAACTTTCTTTGCGTTGCAGCACCGAACACAACAACAGCCATGTCTTTCGCAAAGACCATGTACCAGACGGTGTTCCGCCGTCAGTCCACGACTCTCGTCTTCATCTTTGGTGGATGCTTTGTGTTTGAGCGCATCTTCAACCCCCTCACTGACGGCTACTTCCAGTCGCGGAACGCAGGGGTGCGTACAGTGCGTGTGTGTGTGTGTGTGTGTGCGTGCGAGCGCGTGGTGTGTGTGCGCGCTTGTGTGTGCGTGTGTGCGCGCTTGTGTGTGCGTGTGTGCGTGCGTGGTCTGTGTGTGTGTGTGTGTGTGTGTGTGTGTGTGTGTGTGTGTGTGTGTGTGTGTGTGTGTGTGTATGTGTGTGTGTGTGTGTGTGAAGATGTACGTGAACTTGCCTGCGCGCGCACACACTCACACACACGCACATGCACTCGTCTGTCTCCCCCCCCCCCGCTTCCACTCCCAACCCCCAACATACACACACACTCACTCACTCACACGACCCCCTTGCCCTGTTTCTTCCTGGCGCAATCATGCTGCGGTTTTCTTCTTGCAGAAGCTGTACTCGGATCTGCCCTGTTCCAAGGAGGAGTAAAGGAGCACGACCGACCATACCGACAAACCTCAAACACCCTCTACCCTCCTCCCTCTCTCTCTCTCGCGTCCACCATTGACATTCACGTAAACCCTCTCCCCCCCCCCCCAAACACACACACACGCCCACGCGCTGTTTCCTCTTTACCTTTACTTGTCCAGCTTTCAGCGTGATCGAGGGCCATGAACAGCATGGTCTCGGCCACATGTTTGTGACTGTTCGCTGCTCCTCCTGCTTGCTTGCTTGCTCGCTGGAGTTGCCCTTCCTGTGTGTCTTCACTTTGTCTGTAGCAGCCACTCGGAGGCGGTGTGTTGCTGACTGTTGTTGCGTTTCTGTGGTGTCTTCGTCTATTCGTGGCACGTTCCCCCTTGACCATTGTGTGTATTCGTGTGTCTCCCCCTCCCCTTCATCTTGGCGTGCACGGCTGTGCGGTCGTCCTGATTGTGCTCATATGCGGCACTGTGCTGCGCAGTAAAAGCTGCCTCCCTCCCACGATGTGATCCTACGATGTGCGTTTCACACATGTGAACTTTCGGTTCATTCCTGTTTATGCAGCACCAACTGAGACAACAGCACAGAAGACAAAGAAAGAAGAAGAGACAAGAAGCGGCAACAGGGGTGCTCGCGGACACAGGCGCGTGCACTTAAAACCAACTGAAAGGCAACAGCGGCAGCAACAAATGTACACAAGGCAAGCAAGTGAGCAGGCAGGCACGCAGAAACAGGGCACAAGCACTGGATGCGGCGTGTTTGTATGAACCATGACAGTAAGACATCAAACAGTTGGGGAGGAGGAGGAGAGGACCAACACAGGGCACACAAAACACAGTAAAGGTTGCAGGGAAGGTTGAAACTGCACGTGAAGCGTCGTATGGGTGAGTGGTTGCAAGTGTACGTTTACACGGTCACACACGTGTGGGTGGATGTAAGTTTGGCCATCACTGCTGGAGCTCGCGCTTGCGGTACTCGTAGGCAATGGCCATGAACATGGTGTGGCTGGCGTACAGCTTCATGCCCGGGTGGTAGTCGGCCCACTTGGCCTCAGACGCGTCATCGCCGCCCTGGAGCTTAAACTTGTCCAGCAGGGACCCGTCGCTGTCGTGGATGCTCACCGCCGTCGTCTCCATCCACGCGTTGTCCGTGTTGCGCGGGTCATCCACATAGCCCCTGGCGGCGTGCAGCCAAGTGTAGGGTGTTGTGGGTTGTCGGTGAGAGGGGAGGGGGGCAAGGTATGGCTTTGCTCAAGGCGAACAAAACACGGTAACACAACATGTCACTCAACACACTTTCCTGCACATTCCAAACACGCGTTGCATCACATTCCCAACCGCCTGCCTTCATTCGCCACCACATTCAACCATCCCCACACACATGACCACCACACACATGCAACCGCCACATCACCAGCCCACGTCACGGCAACCAGCGTCTGGGGCTCACTTGTACGCGACGACGGCGCTGTCGGGGTGGAAGAGCTCGTCCAGCTCGCCCTTGAGCGTCTCTGCCTCGGCCGGCGACAGCTCCAGGGCATTCAGCGCCTCCTCGCCAAACTCGCGCTTGACCGTGGCAGAGGCAACCTCACCGGGGTCAACCATGCCGCCGGGCAGCGCCCACAGGCCGCAGTCCTTGCGCAGGATGGCCACAAACTGCAGGATGGGGTTGCCGTCCTTGTCGTACTCGACGGCGTGGGTGACCGGGTTGCGCTTCCAGCGGGTGACGACGGGGTCTGCAGCGTGGTTTGGCCCAAATCGGCCCAGCAGCCCGCGCCCCTTGATGCCCGTCCGGCCCATGGGGTTGCTGCAAGGGTAAGGGGGGGGGTGTTTGTGTAAGTGTGTGTGTGGTTGTGTGTGTGTGTGTGTGTGTGTGTGTGTGTGTTGTGTGTGGTTGTGTGTGGTTGTGTGTGGTTGTGTGTGGTTGTGTGTGAGTGAGAGGGAGAGAGAGAGTGTGTGTGTGTGTGTGTGTGTGTGTGCAAGAGTGCATTGAGACAAACGGCAATCAAACCACAACACGCCTTTAAATGCAACATGGTGAACGAAAAGCAATATCGCGCATCAGAGGCGGTGCGACAGACATCATGAGCAACGTACAGTGGGTGTCCTTCCTTTGTCACGGTGTAGGGGCCGTGGGCACTGGTACGATCAACCTTGTGCACGCTGTCGACAACGTTGTACGTGATGGACCTGTCATGTGTGTGTGTGTGTGTGTGTGTGTGTGTCAGGAACAAAAGATCAAGGCGCACAAGCACTGCTGCGTGCTTGCTTGGTACTGCACCACAACAAACAAACGCACACACACGTATGCACGCAACAGAAGTGCACTTGCTTGGTGTTGTCTGGATCGTCTGCCCAGACCGGCTTCTTCTTCACGACGGTGGCCTCGTAGAAGACGGGTGCATAGCCAGGGAACGGGATCTGCACAGCGTGAAAAGGAGAGCAAACCGCACAATGCAGAGAGACAACCGTGAGTCGCACAGAGACAGCGTGAGTTCGACAACATCAAACAGTGCAAAACACACACACACACACACACACATACACACATACACACACACACACACACCACTCACTCACTCACACAAACACAAACACAAACACACACACACACACACACCACTCACTCACTCACTCACACAAACACAAACACACACACACACACACACCTTCCAGTCGACTTTGGCGTCTGGAACAGGGAAGCGCTCAGGACCGCCAGGGTAGGTCTTGCAGCGCGCAACGGTGTGAATGAAGCGCTGGGGCAGCACACCGGCTCGAATCGATGCCATGACTTGTTCGGGAGTCGGTCCCCACACAAAGGACGTCACAAACTCCCACAGACTTCCGATAATGCCAAACATGGCGGGGCTCTGATGCGTTTCCTGTCAAAACACAATCCCCACAACCACAACCGCAACCGCACCGTGTGATATGTTGATGTGGTGGGACAGCAAGCACGGCCGGTGACACACAGTGGACAAGGACAGCAGCAATGCACACAAGGGTGAGATGAGATGACTGAATGTGGGTGCTTGCCATCTTCATGAACCTCCCTTGTTTGTTCAGCACTCACACAAAATCCAGCGACAACAACAGCACGACAAGCGTGCATCAGCACAACCACATCACTACAACCAGCTGCGACCACACCACATCAGGACACCAGAAACCTACAAACAGACACAAACAAGGACACGTCAGCAAAACAGGGTGGCGAGGAACACGGACCGGGCGAGTGCAGGGCGGTTCGATCAAGCACAACAACACCAGCACCAAGAGCAGACACCAACAGTGGCCGTGGATCTTCTTCCAGTACGCCGTCAGCTCTGCGACGAGATCGGCAAAGCAAAGACGAGAGTTGTGAGGGTGTGATGTGAATACGATGATCTGACACACACAGAAAAAAAAAAATAAGTGGGGTGGCGGTGGTGGTGGGTGGGGATGCGATGTGATTCATCAGCGATCGATGGACAACACTGCAAAGCAAGGCAAAGCAAGGCAAAGCAAGCAAGGTCCGCCCGCCAACCAGACACACAACCAAACCAAACCGTCTGCCAAAAAAAATACTCATGAGAATTTGTTTTGTTGCGGGTGGAACCCACAAGCGTGCAAACTGAATGGAAAACATCATATGTGCGTTCGACGCTCTGCCGCAGCTCATGTCTTTAGGTCAAACCTACAGACTGCAACTTACTTAGTGTAAGCTATGTCCGCGATGATGAGCTTGACCGTGGGACCGCCCACAGGCTGCCTGCGGAGTTGCAGTTGTCATGGCCGCTTCGGTGCCCATGCGATTGTGTACTTCGCGCCACATTTGGCAGACAAGACCCAAGATAGCAGAGCGGTGCTAAATGTACATGTTGAAATCAATCAAAATGAAAAGGAAATGTATCCACGACACAATGCCACTGTGCGCCGTGCTGTGCTGTTGTCGCTCACGACACACTGGTATCATAATTGGTCGTCATCGTCGCGATCATCAAAGAGCGGCCTGTTGTCATCCACGGCCCCTGTGCCATCCACAGGAGCAACAACACTGTTACTTACAATCCTTCGGATATTCTTTTTTTTTTTTATGCTACCGCGCGCGGGGTGTGTGTGTGTGTGTGTGTGTGTGTGTGTGTGTGTGTGTGTGTGTGTGTGTCGTTCTTGGTGTGTGTGTGTGTGTGTTTCGTGTGTCGTCGTGTCGTGTGTGTGTTTGTGTCGTGTGTCGTGTGTGTGTGTGTGTGTGTGTGTGTGTGTGTGTGTGTGTGTGTGTGTGTGTGTGTGTGAACAAAACCACGCAGAACCACGCAGAACCACGCAGAACCACGCAGAACCACGCAGAACCACGCAGAACCACGCAAGGAGAACGGATAGCAAGCAGGTGCAACGTGCCACCTCCTGCCCTTGGTGTGGTTCCGCACCTTGGACAGGTCGTCGGTGAGGAGTGCGTTTGGAATCATGAAGAAGGTGAGCGGCATGGCCAGGAGTGGCAACAGCATGTGGCCAATGGTCATGACTGTCCCAAAGTTGGTAAAGTCGCACGGCACCTGCGCCCGAATCCCCGCCGACTCAATCAAGAACGCCCCCAACGCCTTTGCAATCGCCTGTTGTGGATGTGTGTGTGTGTGTGTGTGTGTGTGTGTGTGTGTGTGTGTGTGTGTGTGTGTGTGTGTGTGTGTGTGCGGTGATGAAAGCAACACGCACAGTACCCCCCCCCCACTTTCAACACACATAAACAGCAACAAGGCGAGAATCCCTCACTGCTTCTCCTGCGCAACCGCAGACATGACGGGCGCACCTGTCCAAAGTTCTGATAGCCAGCAAGCAGCGCGTAAACCGTGCTCTCCATGTTCTTGGGGCAGAGTTTGCTCGTCAGCACAACCATCGGCATGAAATCAAGCATGTACGCAATCTGGTGCAATGCGATGGGTGAGTGAGTGAGTGTGTGTGAGTGAGTGAGTGAGTGTGTGTGTGTGGGGGGGGGTGGGTGGGTGCGAGGTCAAAGAGCGCAAAACAACATTTGCACACACGAGCACACACAAAGCGCACCCTGTACAAACTGCGGTCCCCAATCAAGAACATGGCTTCATCGCTGACGCCTGTGACAACACCAACATCACAACCAAGATGAATGAATGCCACAATGAACGAGCCCATCAAGCCACACGAGTGCAGCATGCACAAGTACACTTCTGTGCTCCCTCGCGCACGCACGGTCGCACCAATGGCAAGATTCCATCGTTGGATGAGAGCAATATCGAAGATGCTGGCAAACACACGAATGCATGTTGTGGTCTGCAGGCAAAAGCAGATCATGCGAGAATGAGATTGCGGTGGTGTGGGTGCACCAGCAATACAAACGTACAAACAAACACTCGCAAGTACTCTTGCACACTCGCACACGTACTCGCAAGTACTCTCGCACACTCGCACACGTACTCGCAAGTACTCTCGCACACTCGCACAAACACTCGCAATCCCACTCACTCTCACACTCGCACACACACTCGCAATCTCACTCTCACACACATACACACTCTCTCTTACACACACACTCTCTCTCTGTTCACTCGCACACCCATGCACATTGCGCACCCAAAAGATGGACTGGAAACGCCACCCGGAGAAGACAGTCTGAAAAAGGGTGACACCAATGGCGCCAAAGATGGCTTCAACGACGCTGCTCGTGGTCTGGAAGAACACGTACGAGAACTGGGGGCCGTTGGGCAAGCACCTGGTCCACAACAAAATGTGCAAAGGTATTGGCAGTCTCGTGTGAATACGCATACGAGCACCAGCGCGCGCACGGGCACAGACACGCTGTCACGGCGAGCATATGATGCGACCACAACTCAAGCGGACAAGGAGAGGTAGAGAGAGGGAGGCAAGGGAAGGTAGGAGGGACAAGCAAGAAGATCGCGAGAGTGAGGCAGACAAAACCACACACACACACATGTGCACACACATGTGCACACACATGTGCACACACATGTACACACACATGTACACACACATGTACACTAATGTACACACACACACACACACACACACACACACACACACACACACACACACACACACACACACGGGCACAACGCACTCTGGGCCGGCAGTCATGAAGAACTGGCCGACGCCGCTGAACTGGATGTAGAGTGCTTGCACAAGAAACATGTAGATGTTGGCCAGCGCGAGCGTGCGCGGCATCAGCTTCAGTGACAGCGTGCACAACACGACCGACGCCATGAGCGCATACACCTGTGTTGGGAATGCCAGCGCAACATGCAAGTGGTCAAACCCAGTGAGGAGTTGGTCCACGCGTGCACTACGATTTAACGCACGCACACACACACACACACACACACACACTCTCTCTCTCTCTCTCTCTCTCTCTCTCTCTCTCTCTCTCTCTCTCTCTCTCTCTCTCTCTCTCTCTCTCTCACACACACACACACTCGCATGCACGAAAATGAGAACCCTCCAAGCATACACACACACGTATGCGCACAAGCTTGGTGGTGCCCGTGCCATAGAGGGCAACAAAGACGAGGCCCATCGCAATGACAGCCATGCACGCCGCCAGGGAAAACATGCGCTTGTACAAGCGCAGTTTGCTCCACAGCACTGTGGTCACAGGTGGCTCATTCCGCGGCTCTTGCAAGTACCCTTTGGCCACCGGAATCGTAATCTGGGCTGTGTACGCGCGCGCACGCGTGCGTGCGTGTGTGTGTGTGTGTGTGTGTGTGTGTGTGTGTGCGTGCGTGCGTGTGTGTGTGTGACGAAGGAATCAGCTGCAAAAGTATTGACTCAAACACCCAAGACAAATGTCACACACACACACACACACACACACACACACACACACACAACACACACACACACACACACACACACACACACACACACACACACACACACACACACACACACACACACAAACACACACACAAACACGGCTGGTACCAGCAAGAGGGACGCAGATCCAGAACATTTGGCGAATGTATCCCGCGTCTGCCAGAAACCCGACGGTGAATGCGGCAATCAGCTGCCCCGTCATGTACGATGTCCAGACCCATGTCACGAGATCGGGACCTATGGGGCATTCAAGGCGGTGCTGGTGTTGATGATGAGACACAATGGGACAACCACGGAGACGACAGAGACAATAGAGAGGCTGAACTTCAAACATGCCAGACAAGAGAGATGCGAACCATTGACATGAACGAACGGCTGCACTCAACATCTTCGTGCGCACCCGCACACACAAATACGCAAACTCACAAACATGCACACAAATACACAAACACAGAAACAACCAAACACACACACACACACACACACACACACACACACACACACACACACACACACACACACGCATGAACACACGTCAATCATGCAAGTCGTGGACATTGCATGACCTGATCCGGGGTTCTCGCGCATGCGCGCGGCGTAGCGGCCCTCGCACAGCAGATCAACAACGACCACGCCCATGTGGGAGAGGAAGAACAGCATGGCGGCGGCATCTGCAGTGTCCGATGTGAAGCGACCCGACGCGATGATGGTCAGGGCGCATGCGGCGGTGACGCCGGCGAATCCAATGTAGTACGACTTGTGGTACCCTCGAATGGGGATGACATCACTAATCATCGCAAACACGGCCTTCATGCTCCAAGGCAGGGCAGCAATCGTCAAGTAGTCATGATAGCGCTCTCCAGACACCTGCGGCGGCAGCAGCACACGCAAGCAACACGCCAGGTCCGTCAGTCAAATGTGAGAGTGTGCTGTCTTCACGCGACGCAATCACGTGTCTACTGGGGTGGTTTCCTTAGACAATAATGACCATATGCCACGCACGCACAGACAGAGAAACAGACAGCTGAGTAGAGGGGCAGAGGGGCAGAGAGGGAGACAGAGAGACAGAAAAATGCATTCATATACAAACACACACACACACACACGCACACATACACACGCACACAAACACACACACAAACACAAACACACACATACACATCAAACACACACCTTGACGTAGGACTGGAAGTACGGCAAGATTGCCGACTCCAGGAAGGAGTAGAGCGTGCCCTTGACGAAGCAATATGCGAGGAACAACAGGATCACAAACTGCAGCGAAAATGTCCCCGTCAAGCGCCCCATGTACACCCGCGCTGCCTGCACCGCGTGTTTGGGCAACTTCCAAGGTTGGTTCCATGGTACGTCCACCTTGTCCTCTGTTGCTACTGCTGCATTTCTTCCCACGCACGTACGCACACACGCATATCCACGTGCACAAAAGCAGGGCGCGAGAGGTCGTGCGTGTGAGTGGGAGCAACTGAGAGTGACATGTGTTTTGCCCCAAAAGAACAGAATGCAAAGATGCTGTCGCATTCGCGTGTATCCACCATCACTCATCCAGTCCTCTCCCACCAAACCAGTCACACTCAACTACCTGTCCTCTCTTCCTCCTTGCTCTTGATCTTGGTTGTCATCGCGTTGGTCGCACAAACGCCCATCCCCATCCCAATCACCGCCACCGCCAACAACGGCACTGCTGCTCATCCTCTCCACACAACAAGCAAAGCAGGACCACAACAACACTGAATTCAGTGTGTGCCCAGGAAGCGCGAACAACGATGGCGTTCACTGGCGGAGATGAGCATGATGATGACGGCGTGGACATGGTGGCATGGCAGGAGCAGATGGCCGAGGACGAGGACCAGGCCGTAGCCTTGTTGGGAGGCCAAGAGCCTGGCCTGTGCACCTTCGGCAATGTGCGGTCTTGTGTGTGTGTGTGTGTGCGTGTGTGTGTGTGCGTGTGTGTGTGTGTGAAAACGTCCACATCACATTAACGTTTGCTGTCGGAGAAGACTGCAAGGCTGCAGTCATACCACCTGACACCCCCCCCCCCAAAGTGCATCCCCATCTCACCCACCTCACCCACCCACACATGTTTGTACATAGTTGGACTTTGCTAAGAGACAAGCAGTGTTTGCCTGTATGACTTGTTTTGTCAAGACGGGTCGTCGTGCTGGCATGTGCTTTGGCTGCTCATCAACCTGCCACGCAGGCCATGATATCGTGGAACTGTGGACAAAGCGGTGGGTGTTCTCAACAAGGGGCTAGTGGCAAATGCGTGCGTACCATGAACAGCTCAGGGTAGCCCAAAGAGAAGTAAGTTGGAGGAGGATGTGGGCATGTGCTGGTGTCACAAGATGGGAAGCACACACTCACCTTTGCTGCTCTACTTTGTGTTGGTGGTGCGTGCAGTCGGTTCCGCTGCGATTGTGGAACACCTCGCATGGGTCACGTGCCTTGCCAGCTCTGTGTAAGCCAAAACCTCCAACACCAATCCGTGCATGTGTCTGGCCTCACTCGCACTTGCTGAACACAACAATATAATCGCAGCCAACTTGCGACGACATGTAACTCACACACACACTCATCACACTCGCTACACTCACCGCACACACAGCCAAAACCTGGGGACAATGCCAGCAATACTTATAACCACAACTTTGAAGGCCAGTTTTGCCACTGCAACAGGCCGTATCCCGACGACACGCTGCCGGAGGTACGAACTGCAGACACAAACCACACAGCACAGCACACTCCCACACATACGCACATACGCACGTACGCGGACACTCACACTCATAATCTCACGTCTTCTTGTGCGTGACTTGTGCTCGCTGCTTTTGCTACTTTACATTGCATCGCTGCTCAGGATGTGAACGAGGACATGGTGCAGTGTGTTCTTTGCGAAGACTGGTTCCACACGGTGGTGAGACAGCCCACTTGCTCAGCTTTGGGTACAAGGCGCTCTGCGTGACATGCCAACCCGTCTCCAATGGTTTCCCGCAAACAAATATGCAGCCCGACACGACCTCATCCGGTCTCATACTGCCATCTTCGTGTATCAGGGGTTTGACGCTGCACATGCGGATGTTCCCCACCCGGACAGCGACTCCATCACACACCCTGTATCCTTCATCTGTGGCAGGTGCGTCGTTACTTTGTGTGTGCGTGTGTGGGGGGGGGGGGGAGGGGTGGGGGTGGGGGTGGGTGGTGGTGGTGGTGGTGGTGTGTGTGTGTGTATGTGTGTGTGTGTGTATGTGTGTGTGTGTGTGTGTGTGTGTGTGTGTGTGTGTGTGATTCTGCCTGTACACCATTGCCCGGCTGTGAACAACACAAAGTGCCTTCATCGCACACCATGACGTAATAATGTAACACAATCCCGTCTGAACCTCCCCACGTGCTGGGATCACAGGTGTCACAGCAGCTATGTGTGGTTGGTTGATCGATTACGACCACTGCTGTTGTCCACACCCACTTATGATGATGCTGGTGATGATGATGGTGATGGTGGTGATGAGGGTGAGAAGGGTCTTAGCTTGAATGCGGAGATGCATCAAACAGCAACAGGTGCGGACGCAGAGCGAGAACAGGGGTTGACAGTACAGCACCAAGAAGGAGAGGAACAGCCAGCCAAGAAGCCCAAACAACGGGCGCAGACCGATCAAAGTGAAGGCGAGGGGAGTGTGCAAGCGCAGCAAGAAACCAGTGAATCAGAGAGCAGCAGGTCGATTTGCTTCTGTCACGTCAAAACCGCTGATGGCGACAACGATGGTGGTGATTGCAGCGGTGAGGATCATGACGTGGCACACCGATGCAAGCATGGCGCATTCTATCACGGCATTCGTCAATGCATATGCGCATGTCAATCCTGTCAAGTGAGTGGGCACACCAACACAGCATGTCCGCCTGACCATCTCTGCGCGCGCGCGCGCGCGTGTGTGTGTGTGTGTGTGTGTGTCCATATGTCTGTATGTCTGCAACGCATGTTGGTCTTACTTTGCTGAACTACCATGTTCCCTCTCTCCACCCAGCGTTCAACCGACTCATGCTTTGCATCTCTCTCACAAATACATGCGCGCCCGCACAGCAACTGTTTCGAGAGCGTGGTGTTGACTTCCTGCACGATGAGGAGGACAGTCAGGAGCATTTTGATGCCATTCGGCGACAGAGACAGCAAGAGGAACAGGCCAGGGTGCGTTGGTTGTTGCGCACTGGTTGCACTCGCATTGCATAACCTGCTAATACTGTTGCACGCACGTGTGTGCGTGTGACCGCGTACGCACTTGTGTTAGCGGCTGCATGCGTGCATGAACACCAACCCCTCCTCTCACCCATGTAGTCGTGGGTACCTCTGAACATGTGTCAGGTTGCAGCGCGCCTGATGCAGCAGCTGCCGCACCGTGCACAGATGGAGCTCGCGCTCGCACAGCAGCACTTTGTCCAGCCCGTCCTTCAGGCACTGCGACAACTCACCCGGGAAAGACAGGTTGGCATGTCTGTCTGTGTGTGTCTGTCTGTGTGTGTCTGTGTCTGTCTGTCTGTCTGTCTGTGTCTGTCTGTACGTGTGTGTGTGTACGTGTGTGTGTGTGCATGTGTGTGTTTGTGCTTGACCATGCGAAGGCTCGGCCACATGGTATGGATATGTCCCTTGTGTCCACCACTGCCTGTCATGTAACGACTCTAATCACATCGAGACGTGTTGCGCTGTCAGGTAGATGTCATTACCGAGGACCACGTGCGTGAAATCACACACGCCGTCCTGCAACGCGCGCAAGAACAGCAACAACAGCAACAACAGCAGCAGCCGCAATGAAAACGCAGGAGCAGCGACCTGGAACAAGCTTGAAACGCGCTGTATCACGCACGAACCACGTGCGAGCATGCACGCACGCACATATCACACACACACACGCACGCATATTCATGCGCACACATCACACACACACACGCGCGCGCGCCTTGCCCCGTCCTGTTCATCTGTTCTCGTTGTACTCGCAGTCTTTTCAAGGTGACGCTTCATTGAATCAGCTGAGACGATATAAGAATAAGTCAGTCGCATAGTCACAGGCACAGGCACAAAACAGGCGGAAGCGCGACACGAGAGGCTTGGGAACAGGTGAAGCTGACAGGAGAGAGAGAGGGGGCGGGAGGAAGACAACAAACAAGCAACCAGCACTGCTGGGCGGACACTTAAGACTTTGGCAAGACCACCGCACGCTCCAGTACACGATTGCGTCGTGGACAAGCACGGAAGCAAATATAAGCACGCAAGCGACAGACAGACAGACAGACAGACAGACAGACAGACAGACAGACAGACAGACAGAGAGAGAATCAGACAGGCAAACAGGGAGAGAGACAGGGGTGAGGAGACAGCGAGTCAGCGCGCAACATTTCTCTCAATACCAAGCTCCAACATCGTCGTCGGACAGCATTGGCAGTGGGTGCCTGGTTAGTCACAGCCCTCAATGCTGATGATGAGGCGGTACACCGGCGCTGATCTGCGTCGGGTGCTCTTCAGCTTGATAAAGTACGGCCCTTCATATGGGGCCTCTGCAACCAGCTCTCCCTCCAGCTGTTCGAGGTGCAGCCGCTCTGCTTGCAGCGGGCGGCCGTTGCTTCGGTGGATCCCAACCTTCACAGACACCGCACTCGCTTCCTCCAGGGCCACGCGCGCGCGAACCACGCCCTGCCTGCACACGTCGACCTTGAACCAGTCGTACTCGCCAGAGCACAGGATGCCAAAGTATGTGCCGGCACCAACTGTGGTCTGCAGGCGGCGGCGGTTGTTGTTGGGCTCGTGCTCGTCGTTGGCAGGGCACGACAGCGACGGGAAGCTGACGGCCGCTGTTGTTGTTGTTGTTGTTGTTGTTGTTGTTGTTGTTGTTGTTGTTGTTGTTGTTGTTGTTGTTGTTGTTGTTGTTGTTGTTGTTGTTGTTGTTGTTGTTGTTGTTGTTGTTGTTGTTGTTGGTGCTGTTGGTGTTGTTGTGGTCGCAACTCTCGTCGTTGTCCTCGTTCTAGTCCTCGTGGTCGTGGTGCTAGCGGTGGCAGTTGGGCAATACACGGAGATGGACATGTCGTACGCTGTGCTCTGGTCGTTGTAGCTGTACACAGCGAGGTAGTACAGCGTGTCATATCCAGTCGTGTCCGTGTGGGACAGCTGCTCGTTGTCCGACGCCGAAGTGGCAGAGGCAGCCGAGTTGCCCGCTTGCGTGTACAACACGGCATCAAGGTCACTCACTGCATGGCTGAATCCAATGGTGATCGACACGGTACCGCCGCCGCACACCGGCACGCGGTACCAGTCCACATCACCACCGCAGATCACCGCGTTCACTGCCACGTCGTTCGCAGACAGAACAGTGGCCGTTGTGTATGCGTCGTTGTTCTCGTAGCCGTCGTTCACGCAGGTGGCTGTCGGCGTTGTGGTCGTGGTCGTCGTGGTGCGTGTGGTGGTTGTCGTGGTTGTCGTGGTTGTCGTAGTGGGACAGTCCACGGAGATGATCATGCCATACGCTGTGCTCTGGTCGTTGTAGCTGTACACAGCAAGGTAGTACAGCGTGTCATACCCAGTCGTGTCCGTGTGAGACAGCTCCTCGTTGTCCGACGCCGAAGTGGCAGAGGCAGCCGAGTTGCCCGCTTGCGTGTACAACACGGCATCAAGGTCACTCACTGCATGGCTGAATCCAACTGTGATCGACACGGTACCGCCGCCGCACACCGGCACGCGGTACCAGTCCACATCACCACCGCAGATCACCGCGTTCACTGCCACGTCGTTCGCAGACAGAACAGTGGCCGTTGTGTATGCGTCGTTGTTCTCGTAGCCGTCGTTCACGCAGGTGGCTGTCGGCGTTGTGGTCGTGGTCGTCGTGGTGCGTGTGGTGGTTGTCCGTGCAGTTGTGACGGGAGGACTTCCTGTGCTCACTGACCCCGTAATGCGGTACTGTCCGAGGGAGCCATAGTCCGATGCGAGCACCGCTGGGTCGCCCACGCCGTCAATCTCAATGTAGTAGGACCCCGCCGCCAGCGACGCCAGCGACACAGATGCGTCCGTGCTGCCGCTTGGGTTGCTCACCGCAATTGGTGTGCCGTTGCTGTCATACACCGTCAGCTTGATGTCCAGGTTGTTCCCCGGCGTGTCCGTGCTTGAGTACCACGGTGTCGCGTACACGCTGATGCTGCCCTGCCCAGCCAGCTGCACCTTCCACCAGTCCTTGTCTGTGCGCACAGAAATCACACCGTCCGCCTTGAAGTCGTTGCTGCCCGTGTACGTGACGCTCGTGGCTGTGGCGGGGGTGTCTCCTGCCTCGTCAGCGGCAAAGCCCGTCTGCCCGCCGATGATCGAAACGTCGTCCTGGGTGTTGGTGGCGCCGGAGTAATCTCCGTTGCTGAACTGCGTCACGGCCCTGTCGTACGATGCTCCCATGATGGGGGCTGATGTGCAAAGGAATACATATCATAAAGACGCATTGTAAGATTGTAGTGAGCACCACAATCACAAGCACAATCACAGCACAAGCAAGTGCAATCGACGAAACAGTGCCGTGCGACTGTCACCTCCCCCCCCCACACACACACACACCGAGTACCCCCTCGTGCCTTGGCTCGCATCGCACGAATACACGGCAAACCAAGCTCACCCCATGAGTTTGCGCTTGTGGTCCCGCTGAAGCCGCTCGCATATGCGTCGCCGTTGTACCCATCGTGGTTCAGCCCAAAGTTGTGTCCTGTGTTGTGGGATGGTTGTTTGATGGTTGTTGGTGTTAGACGATACAACTCAAAACAGCAAAGGTGATGATGTGGACGTGTTGGAGAACAAGGGTGCAAGAAGGGTACGTCTGATACGTGCTCAAGGTGCTGAACAAGCAAGTTTGAGGATGTTGTGGGTGCGATGTGCCGCACCTGCTTCGTGTGACGCGGCCTCTGCCACGTAGGGAGCGTATCCGTCACCCAGGTTGTCGTAGTACACTGCCGGTGGTGGTGGTAAAACGGTGTGGATACAAAAGGTCAGAAGCACGCAAACAAACAATCACACGACAACGCGGGCGTGGTGACACACAAACACGCACACACAAACACACACAAACACACAACGCACACACACACACACAAGCACAAACGCACACAACGTACCGAGGGCTGGGGAATAATACTCATAGTTGGAGGAGCCAAACACGCCAAGCACCGCAACACCGCCAGCATTGCTCGACGGCATGGCGGAGCCTGTTGTCTGCATGCTCCGTGTGATGAGCACGTGCACGTTGGTTGGCCCCTGGGTGACGAATGGCTCTGTTGTGACGTCGATGTTGAACGGAGCGTAGTCCTCGGCAATGCGCTGCCAAATGAGGGCAATCTGGCCCTGTTCATAGGACGAGAACGCGGCACCGTCGTTGGATGGATCAAACGGGTGGGCAGAGAAGGCGCCCCAGTAGTTGTTGCTGGTGGTGGTGTGGCCATCAAAGTCGAGCACCATGGTGTTGGGCGCACCCGGTCGGCTATGGTAAATGGGCAGGCCTGCAGTCAGGGTTGGAAGCGGGGTTCATGAAAGGGAAGGGTGTTGTGCTTGTGAGCTTGCTGCGGCAGCTGATCGACTTTGGGCTCACATCACATGAGACGAGCACCAACCACACGAAGGCACAACACAGAGGAACGAGGCTGTGGCACATCCACAAGAACGCACACACAACGCACACACAACGCACACACAACACACATGCATGCACATCTCAACACTTAGAGAACACCACACTTACATACCGTTGCCGCCGTAGGATGATGGTGGGTTGGCTGCAAGGAAGCGGCGGCCGCGCCCGTGCTCGCCCTCGATGCGTTCCCTCAACACGGGCGGCACTGGAAAGTCGTCTGCGACATACGGTTCGCCGTCTGGACCAAAGTGCAGCGTGCGGCCGTCGACAGCAGGGATGTCCATCTTGTCCAGCTTGTCCTGGGCGCGCTTCTTTGCCGCAGGCGGAAGCTCGCTCAACTCAGCGAATGCAGTTGGGGCGTTGTCCTTGAGCGTGTTCATCTTCAGCTTGGAGGGCGGTGCGCCAACAGCGAGGGAGCGCCGGGCCTTACCATTGCTGCTGCTGCTGTTGTCTGTGTCGCTGTCGGGGCCGTGGATGCGGTCAACCTTTGCCTTGCCGTTTGCATGCGCTTCAGCAGCGAGCGACGAGGGCGCCTTGACACGCTGCACGGTCAGGGGGCGGCCTGCTGCGCCAATCGCCGATGGGGCCTTGATCCGGTCCACGTCCAGGTCCTTGAGCGAGGGCAGGCCCGCGTCACTTGCTGATGCCGATGCTGCTGCGGCGTCTTGGGCGCCAGCGTTGTGGTTGTCACTGTTGTCGTTGGGCTGAATCTTGGTGCGAAGGGGCCGAGCAGACGCCATGTGTGGAGGAGCCATGCCGGCCATGGCGAGGGCAACGCACACCAGTGCGGTTGCCACCGCCGCGCGGCGAATGTGGAACTGTGCCATCATGCGCCGTTGAAGGAAGAGCCGAGCTGGGAAGATGCTTGATGGGTATGTGCGCTCCGCCGGATAGGGGGGGGGGGCGTTGTACGCTTGTCTGCAGGAAGAAGTCCAAGGTTGGATGAGTTGGTCGATGTGAGCTGGTTTCGGGATCGCGGTGTAAATGACAATTCTCTCGTCGATTGATCAACAAGAGCGATGGGGTGAGTGCGTCTGTGTTCCGTGAATATGGACGCGTGTGAATGTGTGTTCATATGTGTGCGTGTATCCATACGTGTGCGTGTGTGCGTGCGTAGGTGCACTGTCAGAGAACCTAAGCATGAAACAATGTGCTGACCACCTTTGCTCGTGATGTGCCGAGACGAGAGGACTGCAGTGTCGCTTGCTTACTTGTTGCGCGGTGAGGTGTTGCGACACAATGTGTAGCTCGTGGCTGTGTAGCTCGAGGCTGTGTAGCTCGAGGCGCAATTCGGGAAGGTGACACGTGATGACACGAGGACCGGCCCCCTGGACAGCAAGGAAGCTGTTAGAACAGTTGAACACGGACGAGACAGACACGTGCACGAGTGCACGAGCACACTGGCACGAGCCCAAACGAGGAACAGAGGGGACGGGGGTGTAGGGGTGTGTAGGTGCTCGAGCCCGTGGACGTGGCCGTTGCGTGGTGGGTGTGTGTAAGTTGAGAAAAGAGGAGCAGACAGAGAGACAGAGAGAGAGAGAGAGAGAGCTAAGGTGAACAAACGTCCTGTGCGAAACATGTTTCGTCCGTGCTTAGGACCAAGGCACCCGTGACGTCACACTTCAAGAGAGCTTAATCCCCATGGAATCATTCACGGCAGAGAAGACAATTTTTGTTTGCTTGCTTGCTTGCTTGTTTGTGTGTGGACGAGCGAGCAAGAAGACAGTGGGGACAGTGCGCGCAGCACATGAGACACAATGTGGTGGTGGAAGCAGTCTGACAAGCAGCGCGAGCGCGAGCGAGAGGAGAAGGAGAGGCAGGAGAAGGAGAGGCAGGAGAAAGAGCGGCAGGAAAAGGAGGAACAGGAGCGACGCGAGCGAGCAAAGCGCAAAAAGGAAAAGAGGAAGAAGCGCGCACAGCAACGGCGAGCAAGGCGCGAGGAGAAGGCACGCCAACATTACGTGCTTGGGGGGAAATGGTGTCCATGGCAGGATGATTTGCTGCTGCTGGCCACACAGTCGGACTTGCATCTCTTCTCCATCCCAGAAGCACCCAGTCGTCCACAATCACCCGACTTCTTGGAGCAGCAGCCAGGTCAAAGGTCGAGGCTTGAGCCAGGAAGGTCGCGGTGGATCGGCGACGTCTCTGACCTGAGCGTCCTGCGACCCGACGAGCTGGTCAGTGAGTGCACTGGGACCCGTCATGACTGCCGCAGCACATGTGTCACTGATCGCTCCTTTCATTCGCTCGCCATCTCATGACGCTGTGTGCATGTGTGTGCATGTGTGTTTGTGCGTGCGTGCGGGCGTGTGTGTGTGTGCGTGTGTGTTTGTGTTTGCTTGCTTATTTGTTTGTGTGGGTTGTAGCTGAGGGTGAAGAGAATTGGAGGCTACGTCAACTCCAAGCCCGGCCCACGCTGCACATTTGACTGGTAAGAACAGAGCAACAAGACTTTGTTGTCGATTACAGTAGTCCCCATGTCATGCTGCCACGCATCTTTCGTGTTGGTGCGCACGCCACATACTCACTCAAACGTGACATTGCCTTCTTCAGGTGTCCACGCAAGACAGAAGGCCGCCTTGTCGTTGCCAACTTTGGCACCGCAACAAGTACGCACTGGAGTCGTTGTTGTGCGTGGGTGGGTGGTTCATGTATGTGTGTGTGTATATGTTGCTGTGTGTGTGGGTGTTGTTGTTGTTGTACATGTGTGTGTTTTGCGTGAGTGTGTGGATCCATACATGTGGCTCATGTGCGCAAACTGAGGTACACTTGCGTAAGAGTCATGCTTCTGCATCGACATAGTGTGGCTCTCACGACCCCCTTGATTACGCCCGCTTGTCTGTTTGTTGTTGTGTTCTAGCATTCATCAAGTCGCTCATTGAAGAAGAGACGCCTGGAACTGCCGAGCTGAGCGCTGCGTTGTCTGTGCACAACCGCGGCTACTGCACATCCACCGAATGGAACACTCTCAGGGACCAGATTGCACGTGCGTTCACACGCACACACACACACACATGTACACAGGGATGGGTGCCTCTCTCAAATGCTGTGTGCCCGCTGCACAGGTTGTGCATGAACTCACGTTACACCACCCGCGCGCGCTCTCTCTCTCTCTCTGCGACATGCGCTGTGCCGCGTATACCCATTCATGGACACGTTTCTTCCCTTCAATGGTTGCGTGTGTGTGTGCGTGCGTGTGTGCGTGCGTGCGTGCGTGTGTGTGTGTGCGTCGGCAGTTGGGTACTCGCGTGATTCGCGTCGAAGCATTCTCGTCTGGGATCCACGACGATATGAAGCCCAGTGAGTGGGCACGTGCCTTTGTGCTCGATGTGTGTGTGTGTGTGTCTGTGCTCGAGCTGTTGCTGTGATTCTACACACGCACACACACACACACATATACACACACATACATTCACACCATGACTGCTCTCACGCGGTGCCTCTCCTGTGTGCACATCCGAATATACCCCCGCCCCTCGCTCACCTCCTTGGTTGTGTTGTCTCAGGCTGCCTGATCTCGCACGTCTGCGGATGGCAACAGGGACTGCTCGACAGTTCACCATTTCGTCAAGGGTGCGGTAGTGTGTACGCGTGCATATGAATGTGTGTGTGTGTTTGCATTTTACATCGAGCATGTGTTTGTGTATGTATTTGTGTGTATTTGTGTGTATTTGTGTGCGTGTGGATGCGCGTCGTGCGTCGACCCACCTTTTGCTTGCAATCTTCTCTCACCATGAACTACCTGCACATCACATCCACGAATCCACCCCCACATACATGTGCGTGTGTGTGTGTGCTATATTTGTTGGAGCAGACGGGCCGCCACCGGCCAGTTGCGCTGCAAGAACTTGGCAACGGTCACGGTTGCCGCGACACCAAGTGGAGCCCCGCCAAGTCGCACTCCCTCTTTGCAGCGTACGTCCCCATGAGTGCGCTTGCGTGTGCGTGTGCGTGCGTGTGCGTGTGCGTGTGCGTGCATGCATGTGTGTGTGCGCGTGTGCGTGTGTGTGCGTTTGATGTGTCGATTGGTTTCCCATACGACACACTGGCTCACTCGTGGGCCTGCTGTTGCGACGCCACATGTTACCACCGATCGATATCCACATTGACTGCAATCATCACTTCAATGGCTACTTCGGCTGCCACTACCGCCACCCATCTCTGCTCTGCATGCGGCAACGCTGGGCGGGCAGGATGACCAACGCCGTGAGCGTGTTCGACCTTCGCATGGGTAAAGAGGCGTACAAGTGGCGCATGAGCGATGCGGAGCGCATAGCCATCAACCCGTACGACGAAAACATGATGGCCGTGGCCAGACAAGGCTGCATTCACGTACGACCCCCTTTGCTTCTTGCTTGCATGGCAGCGTCAGTGCTTTTGCACGTGTTAATGCGCGCGTATGTGTGCGTGTGTGTCAATGTGTGCGTGTATGTGTGCGTGTGTGTGAATGTGCGTGATTCGTGTGAGCATGTGTATGTGTGTTCATTGTAAACACCCTCCATCGCTCTGTTTCTCTTCCTATGCACGTGCCTGTTCACGTATATCTCTGCCCCTGCCCCAGCAACCCCGCCCCACGCCTGTGCACAGCTCCACCCTTGCTCCGTGCTTTGAGCTATCTTCATCACTCACTAACTGCGCGCGCTGATGCCTCTTCATGCCCGGCCCCACGCCACGCTGTTCTTCACTGCAGGTGTTTGATGTGCGGCGGTGGCGCTCGCCAGCCATCTGCGAAATCTCGGCATCGCCCGGCCAGGCCATTGTTGACCTCCACTTCTCTCCAACCAGGTCGGTCACGTGCCACGCACACACGCACGTGCTTCTCATGTGCGCGTCTGTGTAATCACGCGACGTGGACACTTGTGTATGTGTGTGTGTGTTTGTGCGTGTGTGCGTACTTGTATTCATGTGTGTATGTGTGGTTGTATGCATGTGTATCTGTGTGTATGCGTATCTATGTGTGTGCGTATTCACGCGTGTGCGTGTTCACACGTGTGCGTGTGCGTGTGCGTGTGTGTGTCTGTGCGCATGTGATATTCAGGTCGGACTTGCTTTGCTTTCTTGAGACGGGGAGCCCATGGATCCACACGGCAAATGTCTTCCGCAGCTCCATGCGGGAAATCTTCGCCGCGCCAGAGAAGAAGCACCACACATACGCACACGTGCGTGTTTGCTCGTGGGTTTGATCTCAAAATTGCCCCTGCTCATGTGCGTGTCGGTCTCCACAAACGTCACTCCAGTCATTGCACCACACACTCACACGTGTTGTGCTGGCGTGTTGTCTGGTGGACTCTTCAGGACATTGGTGCAAACTTCTCTGCGCTGTCGTGCCATCCGCGCCACAAGGCCCGCGTCGCCGCAATCGCCCGCGAAGGTCGCTTCACACACATGCACATACGCACACACACACACACACATACATACAAGCTCGCAGCTGAGATGGCCACAAGGTTTGTTTGCATGCATGTGATGTGACATGACTTTCGTTGTGCGCTTGTCCTGTTGTGCCACGTTCGTTGACAGGATTCGTCACGGACACCGTCCTGCATCCAGCCAACGTCACCATTCAATCTCCAAACGGTGGGCAAAGGTAGACGTGTGCGTGTGCGTGTGCGTGTGCGTGTGCGTGGACTTTGTTGGGTGGGGGAGAAGGTGGCGGAAAAGGAAATGAAATGAAGAGGTTCATTGCAGTGGTGACACTATCTAACTGATGTGGAATTTTTCTTGCAATACACACACACACACACACATGCATGCATGTTAGGGTACTTTTTGCGGACGGACGAGAACATGTTTGGGTTTGCGCTGAGCCGGGCGGGCAGCATCGGCACGGAGGAGCGATTTGCCGGCGTGGACACACAGGTGACGACAGTGGTGCCTGAGGAAGACATGATGGTGCGACGCCTGTTGCCGCGACCAAAGCCCCTTCGCGGGGCCGGCAAGACGGGGAAGGTGATAGGCGACCGCCCGAGTGGAAAGGATGTGGAGGCACCGCAAGCCCCGAACAAGGCCCTGCAACGCGTGTATGAATACGAGGTGGGACCAGGCACAAGGCCACGCATGCTGCCTTTGCGTTTGCGTGCTTGCGTGTGCGTGCGTGCGCGTGTGTGTGTGTGTGTGTGTGTGTGTGTGTGTGTGTGTGTGTGTGTGTGTGTGTGTGTGTGTGTGTGTGTGTGTGTGTGTGAGTTGAGGTGTGGAGAGGCATGAAATTGAGGAAGAGAAGGACGAGGGGTCGCTCTTGTCATCGGCGTGATTGCTTCAATCAGTTAATACCTTCTGAGCTCTCTTCCCATTCACTCGTGGCCGCCACTAATTTTACGCACACACACACACACACACACACACACACATACACACACACACACACCGTCACCACAACCGCCTCCTGCCTCAATGTCGCCACCAGAAACAATTCATGCGCACGTACAATGCGGATGCGCCGGAGGAGGCATACGAGCAGCTGCTGCATCGGCTGCTCGACATGCCCATTGCCGAGGAAGAGATCTTTGAGGACGCAGCAACACGGCGGCTGATGGAGCGCCTGATGGTCCCGTTGCCTCGCCCGCCGCGCAGGCTGCTTGATGGTGGCGATGATGATGACGACGACGACGACGAGTCTGATGAGGACGATGACGATCTCTTGTTTGAGTACGATGCGGCAGACGACACGTGGGTGAGCCAGGACGACGATGTGCCGGTTGATTTTGCCATTGAGATGGGCGACTTTGACGAGGAAGATAACAGTTATGCGGACACCATCAGCTCTGCGTTTGACAGTGTGCGTCATGGTGTTGCTGGTGGCGGTGGCAGCATTGCTGATCGTGGCGATACCCGTGACAACAATGACAACAACGACGACGACGGTGGTGATGATGATGATGATAATGATGATGATGATGGTGGTGGTGATGATGATGATGATGACGACGATGATGATGACTACGACGATGACGACGACGATGATGACTACGATTTCGATGGTGAGGGCAGTCAACCTCACGGACGTCGTGGAGCTGGTGGTGTGCGCACCAAACGCCGCAGCAAAATCTTCCAGCCTCGACCCAAGTCGCAGGCCAAGGTGTCCTTCCCGCCGACAGACCCCGCTGTTCGCATGTCGTACATTGGTGCGCGCATGTATGACCGCCTCGTCAGGGGATACAGCAACAGCGTACGTGTCACCACAATGGATCTGTGAGAATGCGTGGTTGAGCATGAGCATGTGCGTGTGTGTGCATGCGCATGCGCGTGCGTGTGCGTGTTTGTGCGTGTTTGTGCGTGTTTGTGCGTGTGTATATGCGTGTGTATATGCGTGTGTATATGCGTGTGTATGTTCGGGTTCATGTGCGTATTCGCGCAGCGGAGCACCTTTCTTGGTTGCGACGTTGTGAGTGTGTGCTTGATTGTGTGCAAGCATTGCCCATTGACAACAATCCACACATCGCCCATGCGATCCCTTCATATGTGCGTGCGTGCGTGTGTGTGTACGTGTGTGTGTGTGTGTGTGTGTGTGTGTGTGTGTGTGTGTGTGTGTGTGTGTGTGTGAGTTGAGGTGTGGAGAGGCATGAAATTGAGGAAGAGAAGGACGAGGGGTCGCTCTTGTCATCGGCGTGATTGCTTCAATCAGTTAATACCTTCTGAGCTCTCTTCCCATTCACTCGTGGCCGCCACTAATTTTACGCACACACACACACACACACACACACACACATACACACACACACACACCGTCACCACAACCGCCTCCTGCCTCAATGTCGCCACCAGAAACAATTCATGCGCACGTACAATGCGGATGCGCCGGAGGAGGCATACGAGCAGCTGCTGCATCGGCTGCTCGACATGCCCATTGCCGAGGAAGAGATCTTTGAGGATGCAGCAACACGGCGGCTGATGGAGCGCCTGATGGTCCCGTTGCCTCGCCCGCCGCGCAGGCTGCTTGATGGTGGCGATGATGATGACGACGACGACGACGAGTCTGATGAGGACGATGACGATCTCTTGTTTGAGTACGATGCGGCAGACGACACGTGGGTGAGCCAGGACGACGATGTGCCGGTTGATTTTGCCATTGAGATGGGCGACTTTGACGAGGAAGATAACAGTTATGCGGACACCATCAGCTCTGCGTTTGACAGTGTGCGTCATGGTGTTGCTGGTGGCGGTGGCAGCATTGCTGATCGTGGCGATACCCGTGACAACAATGACAACAACGACGACGACGGTGGTGATGATGATGATGATAATGATGATGATGATGGTGGTGGTGATGATGATGATGATGACGACGATGATGATGACTACGACGATGACGACGACGATGATGACTACGATTTCGATGGTGAGGGCAGTCAACCTCACGGACGTCGTGGAGCTGGTGGTGTGCGCACCAAACGCCGCAGCAAAATCTTCCAGCCTCGACCCAAGTCGCAGGCCAAGGTGTCCTTCCCGCCGACAGACCCCGCTGTTCGCATGTCGTACATTGGTGCGCGCATGTATGACCGCCTCGTCAGGGGATACAGCAACAGCGTACGTGTCACCACAATGGATCTGTGAGAATGCGTGGTTGAGCATGAGCATGTGCGTGTGTGTGCATGCGCATGCGCGTGCGTGTGCGTGTTTGTGCGTGTTTGTGCGTGTTTGTGCGTGTGTATATGCGTGTGTATATGCGTGTGTATATGCGTGTGTATGTTCGGGTTCATGTGCGTATTCGCGCAGCGGAGCACCTTTCTTGGTTGCGACGTTGTGAGTGTGTGCTTGATTGTGTGCAAGCATTGCCCATTGACAACAATCCACACATCGCCCATGCGATCCCTTCATATGTGCGTGCGTGCGTGTGTGTGTACACAGGCGAGGAGGAACATGAAGATTACGTGCGATGACTGGGAGGTCCACGCCGTTTGGGAATGGCTGGTGGTGCGTTTGGGCATGCGTTGCCTGCGTGCATGGTGCTTGGTGGCGTGGATGAGGAGATGTCGAGGGCCCAACCGCAGTGGATGGGAAGTGACCGCCTTCGCTGGCGTTCACGCATCAAACACAACCGATTCTGACTCCACATTTCCGCATGTGTGTGTGTGTGTATGTGCGTGTGTGTTTATGTGTGTGTGTGCTTTTTTGGTTGCTTTGTATGTGTAGGCCCAGGAGCGGAAAGGCGTGATGGGGAAATCTGCCCCGGTTTCCATCCGGGACGTGCTGGCTGCAAACTCACAGGTGCAGTTCACGACGCCACCGCTCACGCTACTGCCTTGCGTCGCTTGCATGCTGCATGACAACACGACGTACAGACCACCGCCAATCTGCACATGCATCATGTGCACTGCACGACTGTGGCTGCGTGCTTCCCTTCATTTTCACACCTTTGCTCTGGAACCAATCTCACCATCCCCACCACAACCACTCTGCAACCACCATCATCAACCACTGTTATCTACCACCTTCATCATACACAGTGGCTCTACCGCCACGCGCCAGGGTTTGTGCATCCAAATGCAACGCAGGTGACCATGTCCACAGGACAGGTTCTGTGCGACCACGCCCCTCAGCGGCTGCTGAGCCTGGCGCTGTGCGGATGGTTCCCCCCACGCGGCGCTGACCGCTACTCGCCCGCCCCGATCAACGCGCGCCTCAAGGAGTGAGTTGTGGCTGCCGTTGCGACTGCCGTTGTGGTTGTTGTTCGATGGCGACAAGGACAAGCAAGGTTGTGGCTGCGGTGGGATGTTGGGGCGCAGTGGAACCCGTCCCAATTTGTGATGTGACATGACACCTCACCACCATGACCACCATGACCACCATGACCACCACCACCACCACCACCACCACCACCACCACCACCATCACCACCATCAGGCTGCTGCAGCTGGGGTGCATTGGCCGGGCCGCATCCTTCCTCGCCTTCCACAACCGCCTTGACCACGCCCTGATTGTGCTGACCAGTCTCGAGCCCAAGCCCTGCAATGACCTCTTCATCCTCTGCGGCACTGCCCTCCAAGGTGTCGCCCACCACCACGATGATAGTAGTGTGTGTGTGTGTGATAGCGTGCGATGGATAGTGTATATATGTGATTGTAACCGTGCATTCTGTCACTGCTCACTCGTCTCACTCACTTCTACGCACACACAACAACCATGGCCACCAGCGGCCTCCGATGAGGACATACCAGCGGTTGCGGCGCGGATGGAGCGCGTGGTGAAGGACCCGTATCTGTTGGCGATGCTGCAGCTCCTAGCAGACCAACAGAGAGCTTGCGAGGTGCGCACGCACATGGTTGAAGTGGGGACGGGGGACATTACACACACACACACACATACACACACACACACACACACACACACACACACGGCAACACACACACACACAGCGACACACACACAGCGACACACATACACATACACACACAGCGACACACATACACATACACACACAGCAGCAACACACACATCCACACACCGTCTCTCTCGTTTGTGTGCGTGCTTGTGTTTGTCTTGCTGCATAGTACCCATTCACCGCAAACTGCTGTTGCCACCAATTGAGCAGGCCGTGACCAAGAACAAAGAGATGCATGTGGCCGATCGCGCCGCGTTCCTGCTGCGCTTTCAAGACGACACCCTTGCTCTCGAAGCACAGCTCGAAGCCATCACAAACGTCCGTGCTCGCTTGCAGGCACATGTTTTGCGTGGAGCACACACACACACACATGTTTTGTTCACGCCCCGCTTCTGGTACCGCTGGCATGTCATCGTCTTGCTTTGGCAGACCTTGCCTCCGGACTCACAAGCACTTGTGTGTGAATGTGACCGTGCATGCATCTGTATGTGTGTGCGTGTGTGTGTGCATGCGCGTGTGTATGCGCGTGTGTGTACATGTGTGTATGTGTGTGTAGGAGATGATTACTGGAGGATTTCTGCACGGCCTTATCTTCACGGGCGTCTCAGATGGTAACGAAGCACTCGCACGTGTGCACGCCCTGTGCTTAAAGCCCCAATGCAGACACAAGATCTGCTTCTCTCTCTCTACATGTGTGTCTGTCTAGTCTGCTTTCATCCCCTCACTCCCACATGCATACCCTCACGCCCACGTGCGCGCACATGCACAACCACCGCACGCCAACCACTGCTGCCATGCTCACCCACCGCGACCAATCAACACCGCCAGCGAGCATTGAGCTGCTGCAACAGTTCCTCGACCGAACACATGACCTGCAGACGGTGTGTCTGGTCGCTGCGCACTGCATTGGCCGCCCGCCACACATTCTCTCTGGCGGGAGAAAGAAGCACGTGCTCACAGACGACCGCACAGACGAGTGGTCAGTACGGCCATGCGTGTGGATTTGTGTGCGCCTGCATGGTGTTGTGTCTGCATGCGTGAGAATGCGGTTTCAGGCACATTGCATGGCTACACGTAACTGTCTACGCACACGCAACTCACGGAACTCACTCACGCGCGCATGCGCAACTCACACACACATATACGCACACACACACACACACACACATACGCACACGCGCACACACACGCGCACGCATCTACAGGTTTGATGAGTACCGCGACCTGCTTGATCGGTGGCAGATGTTCTCGCACCGGGCGGAGTTTGATTCGCTCATCACAAAGGTTGTGGACACGCGATCAGGCGCAGCGCCGCCGCGCTCCGTTGTGCTCCGGTGCCAGCACTGCAACAAGTGCATGGCTGGTGCCCGTCGCCTGCGTACTGTCCGCGCCGTGCTCAAACGCAACTGCCAGGAGTGCCACGCCCCCTTGCAGACATGTGTCGTGTGCGCAACGCGCATGACCATCAACGCTGTGGTGCGTCGTTGTGTGTGTGTGTGTGTGTGTGCGTGTGTGCTTTCAAGTGTGCAGTACTGTGTCCTGTGCACGGTTGCTATCACCAGTGCTGCTGCACGAATGCACTCGCCAACTGAGCATTTGTGTGTGTGTGTGTGTGCGTGTGTGCGTGTGTGCGTGTGTGCGTGTGTGCGTGTGTGCGTGTGTGCGTGTGCGCGCGCGTGTGATCTTGCGAGGTCTCACATCACACGTTCCTCTTTTGTTGCTGCTTTTGTTTCTTCGGTCGAATCTATGCTGCGTAGGCAACGGGGTCGTTTGATGTGGGATCACGACATGGCCGCGAAGGTCAGGCGCCGCTTGCCCCAGCCATGTTCACATGGTGCCAGGTACGCTTTCATGCACCTGCATGTACGCATGTGTATGTGTGCATGAGTGTACGTGTACGTATCTATGTGTGCTGTTGCGCATGATTTTATGTGCATGTACGTGTTTGTGTGCTGTTGCGCATGAGTATGTGTGCGTGTGCGTTTGGGAGTACGTGAGCGTGCACGATTGCACGTGCATATGCCATGACTCGCACCTCGCTGCAGTTGATTTGCACTCCGCATGGTAATTTGCACGGGTGGTATTTGCCAGGTGTGTGGCCACGGCGGTCACGCAAACCATCTCCTGCAATGGTTCTCCGCCAACACGACGTGTGCAGCGGCTGAATGCAACTGCAAGTGAGTCTCAACGCGAGAGCAGTTTTGTTTGTTGCGCATGTCTGTTCGTGTGTGTTTTGTGTGTGTGTGTGCTTTTGACGCGTTGTGCGCGGTTAGCTATTGGATGACTGGTGACAGAGTTGTTGCGAAAGCGTGGATCTTTGCCACTCACGCATCCACTGGATCGATAACAGGTGCATTGTCAACGATACGACGACAATTCAGCGCCAGGCGCGAGTGCGCTCAACCCGAGTCCTCCACTCCTTGGAGTGACCATTGCGGCAGCGAACGAGCAAGCGTGGCACATGTGACACAGGTTGAGATAAGCGTGGTGTGGATGATTGTGAAGTGCAACAAGCAAGACACCGTTTTGTTGTTGTGGCTGTCCTTCCTGTGGATTCTATGTATATTTTGCAATAAATTTCCGTAACAGCAGCTGTGGATGGCGCTTGGGCTGCGAGTGTTTGGTGGTGTGGTGTGTGCGATGATGGTGGTGGCATACGCCACGTCGGGCTTCGTCGGTAAGTCCACACACACACACACACACACATGCACGCACGCACGCACGCAAACGAGCGGGCAAGTAAGCAAGGGACAGGTGGAGTGGGGAGGGCGGGGTGTATACCGTGTGGAGTTCCATGGTGTGCACACATGTGTGCCAATTCGTGCCTACATGGACACACAAGGTTGAATACCAACAAACTGTCAACAAGCGCACCCCATGATGCACGCACATACATACACACGCACGCACACACACACACACACACACACACACACACAACTACACCAATGACAGGAGAAGTCAGTCTTATCGCTGGGCTGGCGGTGCTTGTCACTGTGCTATGCCTGACTGGAGTTGCCCCGCCTTGGCTGGCCAATCTCTTTGCGCGATTCATCCGATTCCCGCGCGAGATCATCGTTTGGCTTCAAGGCGGGCGTCCCTTCAACTACAACACCATCACAGAGAACGTGCTGCTCGGCCGCTTGCCGCGTTCAGTCGCTGACATCCGGAAACTTCAGGAGGTACCACTTACTGCTTCTACCGCTGCCGTCGTTGCTGCGATGGCTGCTGCTGTACATTCGACCGATCTTTTACCCCGCCACCTGATTTGCCACTCACGTTGCACATCCACGTGACAGGAGCACAATGCTGTTGCCATTGTCGACATGACGCAGCCGTGGGAGCAGTACGTGAATGTGCAGGCGTTTGTGGAAGAGAAGATTGTGAGGCTGAACCTTCCTACCCCAGACTACAGCTGTCCCTCGCTTTCCTCCATTCAGCTCGGCGTCAACTTCATTGAACAGCACAGACAGCACGGGTGAGGTCTGATGTTCTGCCGCTAATACAAGTACCATAAACATCTCACGCACACACCATGCTGCGTCTATCTGTACTTCTGTGCATGTGAGAGTGAGAGAGAGTGTGTGTGTGTGTGAGCGAGAGTATGAGAGAGTGTGTGTGTGTGAGAGAGAGAGAGAGAGAGAGAGTGTGTGTGTGTGCAGCACTCACGCTGACAGCTGCCACTGTGTCTTGTTTGTTCTTTCCTTCATTGCTTGTCACCAACAGTGCGGTGTATGTGCATTGCAACGGCGGGAAGGGCCGTGCCCCTATGGTTGTGGCTGCGTGGCTCGTGCGACACCAGCAGTTGACACCAGAGGCGGCGGAGGCCACCATACTTGCCAATCGACGCATCACACCCATGAGCAAATGGGGCCCGCTCAGGGCGCACTGGCGCCGGCTGCACGAGTACTATCGCAGCCACACCTCCTTGCATGCAGGCACAAGCAGATGACACGCAAGTGTGTGTGTGTGTGTGTGTGTGTGTGTGTGTGTGTGTGTGTGTGTGTGTGTGTGTGTGTGTGTGTGTGTGTGTGTGTGTGTGTGTGTGTGTGTGCTCGTGCACCCCCTCCCCCCTTGTCATTGCATATCACGAATGCTCGGTTGTCCCGAGGTGGTTGTTCTTCCTTTTCATTCTACATCGCGCTCCCCATCGCGATCTCAACCAAGATGAATGCATGCAGGCAAAAGCAGATACAAATGAACCCAAGATGTAGAGTGTAGGAGATGGGGGAGGATGGGTTGTGTGCGTGTTAAGTGACGGTCTGCGTTGCGTTTTGCTTGCTTGCTTGCAGCGCATGGCCAGAAGCGGCAAACCCCGACGCGCCCTGGATGTGGATGTGGTGGCGGCGGTGGAGTGTGAGTGGGTGATTGGGGCGAGCCAAGTGGAAAACAGCAGCAGTACATCAGCAAGCAAGCACAACCACAAGCACGCAGACACAGCATTAAACCATCAAAACGACAGCACATGACGAGCACCTTCTTGAGCGGAATGAGGTCTGCCTCGGTGAGCGGTTCGCCGCTGATTGGATCACGCATGTCCTTGCGCACAATCTTGTCAATGCACTCCTGGCTCACAACACGGCCCCTTGCAAAACGTACACACACGTGCGCGTGCATGGTGGTGGTGGTGGTGGCGGTTGTGACGCGTGGAGGCGCGGTGAGCAGAGGGGCGGGCGCACACAGAATTGGAAGAGTTGACAATACAAGTAGGTTGGAGACAGATGCAAAGAGAAACAAAAGCAGAAGGCAAACGGAAAAAAATGGACACCCGCACACCCGCACACAAACAGACACAAATGCACACACACACACACACACACACACACACACACACACACACACACACACACTGGGCTTACGTTGGTTTGATGGCGACGAGCTGGATGTTTCCCTTGAACGAGGTGCGGGTGACGGGGCACATGTAGCGGTCCTGTCAACAACAGCGACGCCCGTAACATAAACAGGGAGGAAGGGATTGCGGCGTGATGAGGAGAGGCCGATGCACGTCGAACCAGTGCAATTCAGCGTCTCAGTTCGATGTGAGCATCACTCTTGCACCCGCAGTCATGACTGTGATGATGATGATGATGATGATGATGATGATGATGATGATGATGATGATGATGATGATGATGATGATGAGGATCACTCTCACCTCTCGCGCGACAATTGGCTGCTTTGAGTCTGGGTTAACTTGTGTGAACTTCACTGGAATCAATTGCTGTGCACACGTGCAAAAAGCCAATCACATGAACGGCAATTGGAGTAGGGTGAGAGAACAACCAAACTGCCAGAACTGCAACACATTACAACCACACACACACACACATACAAAGTTCCTTCACACCTTGAGCTTGAGGGGCTTGTTTGTGATGGGGCAGCGCGTTTTGGTGTCCTGTTCAAGATCATACAAGACGAAGCACCGCAGCAGCAGGCGCGTGAACGAGGAACGCAGCCGACACACACACACACACACACACACACACACACACACACACACACAAGCTATCCGCTCTGACCGGTTTTGTGAGCTTGGACGACTTTGCGTCTGGCGTTGCGGACGGCACCCTATGTGTACACGTGCACGGTACACGTGCACGGGCGTGAGTGTACATTCGTGTGCGAGATTGTGTGCTGACATACAACTGCACAGGCACCGTGGCCACATGTGTGCGTATGTGTGTGTGTGTGTGTGAATGTGTGTGTGTGTGTGTGTATGTGTGTGTGTGTGTGTGTGCGCGTGCGCGTTCACCAGAATGCCGGGTGGTCCGGGTTGACGTCGCCCTTCGCCCTCTTCACCGTGAACTTCTTCGCAGCCTGTACACGGCGGTGGCGGTGGCGGTGGCGATACGAGCAAGAGAGGGAGTATGTCAGTGTAGTCAAATGGCAGCACATGCAAAGTCGAAAAAGTTGAATGTTCAGATGTACAGGCAGGTGGATGGATGGAAACGCGCACACATGCACCCACATACATGCACATGTCACAGAACCTCAAGCGCTGCCGTTGCGTGGCCGCCCTAAGTTCATCACCAGCAAGCACGTACACGCGAAGGAGCAGAAGTAGTGAGCATGATGACGATGATGTGGGAGGGGGGAACAGTGTACATGCTGCATTGCACCCCAGGTGAACGCACACGCACGCACACACATGCACACACATACACACACACACACACACACACACACACACACACACACACACACACACACAAACATATTCACAAAAGAGCAGGCGGTGTCACCTTTTTGTTGTCTGTCTTGAAGTGGTCGCGCGCAGAGTACGCGATGCTGGACTCCGTGGACTTGAACCGCTGCAGTGGTGGTGTCGTGGGTGAAGGCACACATGCGCCGAGATATGCATTGATTCGGGCGAATTGAAGGGCTGAAAGGCAAATGGACAGGCAAGTACAGCTACCAAGACACAAACCTACAGGCTGACACACACACACACACATATGTACCGTGACTTGGTCGCGCTTGGCGGCTTCCTGCAGTTCCTTCTCCTCTTCTTTCTCTTTCTTGAGCTGCAGCTCATACGCGCGCTTCTTCCGGGCAGCTGTGGTCATGTACGCGTGAGGACGTATCGAGATGGCCAACCAAGGGGCAGAACGAAGGTGTGTGTGTGTGTGTGTGTGTGTGAGCAGGCACGAAGAAAGACAGAGAGACAAGGAGAAAGACAGATGGGCAGAGACATACACAGGCGCAGCAAGCAAAGCAACGCACTCTCTTGTTTCTGATGGAGCAGGTTCTCCAAGATGGCTTCCCGCTCAAACAAGTAGCCGTCAGGCCTGTCAACGCAGCATACGTGAGAGTGTGAGTGTGAGTGTGCGCAATGTGTGAGTGTGTGCAATGTGACAATGTGAGTGAGTGCGTGCCTGGTGTGTACGTACGTGATGACAGCATCGACGACAGGCTGCAGGGACAAGTAGCAGCAGTCCACTTCCTGCTCATGCAGTGTGTTAAAGCGAAGCGGGTGCGTTGGTGATGTGAGCTGTTGTGGAGCTGTGGTTGCAGCTGATGACAGAGCGAATGGACGTCAACCCTAAGCATTGCACGAACGTGCAGATTGACACACAGAGAGACAGACAGAGAGACACACACACATACACACATACACACACACTCTCACACACATACACATACGTACATACACATGCACATGCACATACACAGACACACATACACATACGTACACATACATACATACCCACACCCAGGCACACAGGCACAAACAGACACACACGTGCGCGCTCACCCTCATGCTGTCTGCGCCGAGGCGCTGCGATAGCCTGCCATACTTTTGTTGTTCTGCACACCACCAGCAGTACCATGAGCAGTATCATGAGCAGCATCATGAGCAGCATCATGACCGATAACACGGCCACAGCAAGCACGGAAGCACATGGGAGATGCTTGCGCCATCCACCACACAACCCTCACACAACAGGCAACAACAGCAGTAAGCACGGCAAGAGAGAGGGATCGGGCGTACTCTTGTCCTTCTGGCGTTCATGGTAGGTGTAGACAGGGTTGGCTGTCTGGTTGCGGCCGTGCTTCCCCATTGCTAGCTGCGCCTGCTGCTGCTGCTGCTGCTGTGATGATGATGATGATGATGTGTGCGTGTGTGCGTGTGTCTTGTGGTGGGTGTATTGGGTGTCGTTGCGAGCGAACAGCAATGAATTTCGTCAACATCAACGACGATGAGCGATCAGAAGAAGCGAGACGTGGGGTATGATGTGGAGGTGGAAGAGGAAGAGGTGGTGGTGGTGAGGGAACAGGTGGTGGTAGAAGAGGAGGAGGAGGTGCTGTTGGCAACGTCAGTGGACGAGAACGGCAACGGCGGCATGCACGGTCGAGGTCGTCGTCGCAAAGCAAGTGAGGAGCAGGAAGGCGAGGAGGAGGAGGAAGAAGAGGAGGAGGAGCCACTGGAGGATGCTGTGGTGGAGGAAGGACCCGTGGAGGCTGAAGCCGATGAGGACGTCATGGATACGCTGCGCTGGGCCATGGAGACAGACACGCCCCATCACCGCACATCGCTGCCCGTACCGCGCGTGCACAATGCCAAGGACCAGAGCATGTGGTCCGTGCTTCGCAAGAACGCCGGCAAGCGCATGTCACACATCTCCATGCCGGTGACCTTCAACGAGCCGCTGTCAGCCCTGCAGAGGCTGTGCGAGGAAGCGGAGCACAGCCACCTCTTGGACCAGGCCAGCATTGAGGACTCGCCGCACCAGCGTTTGCTGCTGGTTGGCGCGTTTGCCGTGTCCATGTATGGGCAGACTGCCTACCGCAGCGGCCGCAAGCCGTTCAACCCAATCCTCGGCGAGACGTTCGACGCCGTGCTTCCCGACCGCGGGTTCCGCTTCATCGCAGAGCAGGTCTCCCACCATCCACCCATCTCCGTCGGCGTTGCAGAGTCGAAGCACTGGACCCTTTACCAGGAGGCTGGCGCCAAGACCAGCATGCGGTCAGTGGCGCACGTCTATGTGTGTGTGCGTGTGCGTGTGCGTGCGCATGTGCGTGTGTTCGTGTGTGTGTGTGTGTTCGTGTGTGTGTGTGTGTGCGTGTGTGTGTGCATGTGTGCGTGTGCATGTGTGCGTGTGCGTGTGCGTGTGCGTGTGCGTGTGCGTGTGTGCGTGCGTGTGCGTGCGTGTGTGTGTGTGCATGTGTGTGTGCATGTGTGTGTGCATGTGTGCGTGTGTGTGTGGCGTTTGTTGACACTTGTGTGTGCGTGTTTCTCTATCTCTCCCCGCTCCGTATGGCATGTGCCTTGAACACCATGAGCTGTACACCAACCCATGACGACCGTCCATCGTTGACACGCGCATTCACACCACGTTCCATAACACAATGTGCAGGCCTTCCTCTCTGAAGATTGTGCCGCACGGGTTTGTGCGTGTGAAGCTGCATGCACACGATGAGACGTACGAGTGGAGCAAAGTCACCACCACCGTGGAGGACGTCCTGTCAGGTAGCAGCAGACCCGCAGCTGTGGTTACCTCGTGTTGGTCGTGTTGGTCGTGTTGGTCTTGTTGGTCGTGTTGGTTGTGGTGGTGGTGCTGCTGCTGGAGATTCATCTTCTTATGGTTCTTCTGCTTGTTCTTGTCCCTTTCCCTTCTTCTGCTGCTGCTGCTTCTACTGCCATTGCTGTTGTGCTGGGATCGCAGCGGCTTGCCTCTGTTTGCTCGCTGAAAACCACATCCAGTAACGTCCGTGCTACCACGCACTGTCCCCACCCCTTGCACGCCCTCTGCATTGTTGCTGTAGGGAAGAAGTGGGTTGACCACCACGGCAAGCTTGTTGTCACGTGCCTCAACTCCGGCGACGTCTGCCTGGTAAAGTGCACGCACGCACAATCGTTCCATTCACATTCTTCCCTCCATTCTTTTTGTGCACATGCAATCCCACCCTTGTCCCTGATGGCTGCCCTCTCCGCATTTAGCTCCTTGCATGCGTGCAGTGACACATACACACACATGCACACGTATGCACACGTATGCACACGTATGCGCACACGCACACGCACGCACGCACGCACGCATGCACACTCATACACTCACACACGCTCCCTGTGCCACATAGGTCGAGTTCCAGCAGTACTCTGTGATGTCGAAGAAGAAGAAGTTCAATGTTCGCGGGCAGGTGCTCACGGCAGCGGCGCCAAAGAGGCCCGTTGCATCGTTCTCCGGCAAATGGACAGAACAGGTCAGCCGTCCGACCGCACACGTTCACACACACACACACACACACACACACACACACAGACACACACACACACGTTCACACACACACACACACACGCACACGCATGCACACACGCACACGCACACACATGCACACACACACTTGCGGCTTTCCTCAACTGATCCCGTTTTGCTGCCACTTGTGGTTGCGTTGCTGCTTGTGCTGTGTGGACCGTGGTGCAGATTGTGTGCGATCAAACCGGGGAGGTGCTGTGGACCAACGAGCCGCCATCGCAGGGTACACCGACCGTGCACACGCCCACCTGCTGCCGTCCTGCCTGTTCTTGCTCTTCGCCACATGTCTGCTGTCTCACATTTGCAACCCCATGCGGATGCGCGCTCTCACTCGTTCACAATTATCCCACACACTGTATTTGACAACCACAACCCACTACCATCATCACAACCCACCACCAGCTGCGCTTGACCACGGCTTTGGGTTCAGTGCGTTTGCGTGTCGACTGAACGAGCTGCCGCCACAAGATTCGCAGCAGTACGCTCGCCTCCTCCCCTCAGACTCACGGTGGGACGATGACGATGCTGCTGCAACTGCTGTTCGCGTTGTTGTTGTTCGCGTTGTTGTTGAAGTTGTTGTTCGCGTTGTTGTTCGCGTTGTTGTTGAAGTTGTTGTTTAAGTTGTTGTTTAACGTTGTTGTTTAAGTTGTTGTTGTTGTTGTTGTTGTTGTTTAAGTTGTTGTTTAAGTTGTTGTTGTTGTTGTTGTTTAAGTTGTTGTTCGCGTTGTTGTTTAAGTTGTTGTTTAAGTTGTTGTTTAAGTTGTTGTTCGCGTTGTTGTTTAAGTTGTTGTTGAAGTTGTTGTTTAAGTTGTTGTTTAAGAAGGTGTGTAAAGTTGTTGTTTAAGAAGGTGTGTAAGTTGTTGTTGTTGTTGTTGAAGAAGGTGTGTAAGTTATTGTTGTTGTATGTGTGCGCGTGCGTGTCTGCGTGCGCGTGCATGCGCAGTATGTTCTTGCGGGCACGTGAATGTTAGACGCTTGTCCTTGCTTGTGATCATGTCATGAACGCACCACTTTGCTCAGTTCCTTCCACTCATGTTTCATGCCACCTCCGATGCTGCGCTGTCTGCCAGATTTCGCCCAGATCAGCGCATGCTCGAGAACGCCCAATACGATGAAGCAGCAGAAGGTGATTCCGCACAGACACACAGATAGACAGGCAGACACCCACACCCACAACACACCCACACACAGACAGACAGACAGACACACCCACACACAGACAGACAGACAGACAGACACACACACACACACAGATAGACAGGCAGACACACACACACACACACAGATAGACAGGCAGACACACACACACACAAACAACACACCCACACACAGACAGACAGACAGACAGACAGACACACACACACACACACAAACAACACACGCACACACACACAAACAACACACGCACACACGACCACCACACATACATACACACACATACATACACATGCAACACACATGCTTGTGCCCTTGCCACTCACGGCCTCAACCCTCCTCCCCCGGATGCCAAACGCCACGTGTAGAGAAGAAGCGCGTTGAGCAAGTGCAGCGCGATGCGCGGGCCGCTCGCGCCGCCGCCAACACCGGATATGAGCCCCGCTTCTTCCGCTGCTGTCGCCTCCCAGTCCCGCGCCCACACACCGTCGCATTGTACGTGTCACCACCGCCAAGGCGCGTTTGTGCGTATCTTTGCGTGTTGGAGTGAGACAATGTGCGCGCGCGCGTGTGTGTGAGGTTCTGTCGATCTGATTGTGTATCCCACGCACACACACACACACACACACATGCGCGCACACACACACACACATGCACACACACACACACACGCACACACACACATGCGTGCGCGCGTCTTGTTGCTGACTCCACGTTGCTGCTACTGCCTGCCTCCTGCCCTGTCTGTGTTGTCCTGTGATCTGCAGTGCACTGAAGGACAAGCGCCACCAGGAGACGGTGCGTGAGGAGTGGGTGTACAAAGGCGGGTACTGGAGAATGAAGGCTGCGGGCTCCTACCCATCGCTCCCGCCGCTCTGGTGACTATGCCAGGCTGTGTCGTTGCTTGTTGAATTCAAGCCTTGCTTGGCCGTGCTGTATCTGACCAGGCCACTGTAGTTGTTCCACATCCTGTCGGGTGTTGTTGTGCTTCGTTCAGGATATCGCTTCCAATTAGAGCTCTGTGTAAAAGTGCAATTGCGTGTGTGCGTGTGTGCGTGTATGCGTGTGTGCATGTGTGCATGTGTGTATCTGTCCGTCTGACCTTCTGGCTCAATGCCCGCACATGAACGCGCCATGTCCTTCTTTCTGTGACTGTTGCCGCTTATGATGCACCGTTACATACAGACGCAGACATACAACTGCTTACCTGCTTGCAATGTGACGTGAGATTGCTGTTGTCAAGAAGGAGGTGTTCGTGTGTCCAATGGCATCTCACAACAACAACAACAACAACACCAGCAAAACAACACAAGAAGAAGAGGAGCAAACAACAAAACAAACAAGAAGCAAAACGACAACACCAACACACACAAGGACGGTGATGGGTGATGACAAGAAGCGTGGAGGGGGCGGCGGTGGTGGTGCTGCGGCCAAGCAGCCCCAGCAACAGCAGCAACGCCGTGGGCCATTGGATATCGTGGAGGACTCAAACCCTGTGCTGTATCTCGACGACAAGCCACTCAGGTATCAACACCAAATGCATCCGTGTGCGTGTGCGTGTGTGTGTGTG